TACTCACAGACAGAGAATACAGACTTTTGGTTACCAGGGGGGTGGAGGGTGGGAAGGGATAGACTGGGATTTCAAAACTGTAGAATAGATAAACAAGATTACACTGTATAGCACAGGGAAATATACACAAAATGTTATGATAACTCACAGAGCAAAAAAATGTGACAATGAGTGTGTATATGTCCATGAATGACTGAAAAATTGTGCTGAACACTGGAATTTGACACAACATTGTAAAATGATTATAAATCAATAAAAATGTTAAAAAAAAAGAAGTTCAGGGAAAAAAGCTAGTTTGAACAGTATGAACTCTGCACACTTAGCTAGTAGTCCCACTTGAAGGACCTCCCTGACTGTCTGTCAGATGCCACTAACACTACCAGAGTCAGTCCCCAGCTCCACATCTTAAAAACAGCAGAAAAATGATAGGGGAACATAACAGCAATGTTTGGGATGAAATTCTGGGAGACAGGATATCAGTCTGTTTCCTAGTGTTTTGGATCCCACTAAACCTTTCAGAGTTTTGTGAATTTTTGTAAAAGAATTTATTTCACTACATCTTTCAGAGTCTGCCTTTCCTCATCAGTAAATGTCCTAATAAAATTATTTGGTTCAAACTGAGGCTCTTTCAGCTTCTCCCAGCTTCTACTGTCCCAGGCTTTCCATAAATACGCTTAAAGCAGAGAAAAGTTATTTGGAATCACCATTCTGAAATACAAGGAACTAGAAGCTATTGGGCTTAAGATGAACGCCACTTTTCAATGGAAGGGAAGAAGTCCTTTGGTATGTTCAATTAATCATGCTGAGCTTTTGCATATGGTAGTAATTCATGTTGTCGCTCTGGTAACAACGGTTTGCCATGAAACCCAACAGTACAAAGATTTAAGACCAAGCAAAACAAATTTGGGCTAAAATGAAAATACAAATACATTCTTACGCCCAAGAGTCTGCTGTCAAGCAGGCGCTCCCATCCACAAATGCATTTTCTTTCAAGATGGTACCCTAGTTTCCTGGTTACAATTTAATCAATCAGCTTTTTTTTTTTTTTAAGAGTCATCTAAGTTTGCAGTCTCTCAGATCAGATTTTTCCATATAAATGGAGGATTAGAAAAAAATTTTTAAAGCCCAGGACAAAGAGAACAAATTAATGGTTCAGGTTATTACATGACTTACTGAAAACTAAAAACTTAACTATTAATATGGCGATATGACGACTGTGTGGAAATCACTAACCACAAACAGAAAAACTTTAGAATTACCTAATAGATAC